TCATGATAGGCTTGATGGAATGAGTATTTTAGCTAATGCCAGCTTTGATCGACTGAAGGAGGTGATTTGCAATACTCTCACCTATTTTCTGCATCGTTAATATGGAAGTTTAAGATAATTTTTTTGTTGTGCTGTTTTTTGGACTGGATAATCAGTCGGTGGATAATTTTTTATTTTTCTTTTGTTTTGCTATAACTTTGCAAGCATATCATGCTATAAATCCTATTTTAGTATGAAGTTTGGTTTATTATTCCCTCTTTGCTGATGTCAAAAAGGGGGAGGAAGGATATATGTATTTGTACAGGTACAAGGATAAGTCGAGGATAAGTCGACTGAAGGGAAAGTGCAGGTAGCAGCTCACGACACCTCTCGAGGGGGAGTCATAGATCCTGGAGAAGAAGTCGACTACAAGAGCTGTTGTTAGAGAAAGTCAAATGCTCTCATTGAGGGGGAGTAAAATACAGTCAACTGATGTTTATACATATATATTATTTTGTCATCATAAAAAAGGAGGAGATTGTTAGATCTGATTTTAATGATGAAAATTATTCTTTGTATAGGAGCTCATGGAAAGTATTCAAGATTGAATGACTCAATCAGAGAAGATCAAGGAAAGAATCCAAGATTGAAGGAATCAATGATAGTATTCAAACACTGACGGAATCAATTAAGGCTAGACTGAAGGAATCAATCAATCAAGAGTATCGAAGATCTTGCAAGATAATCAATCAAGTATGCTAAATTTATATGGACCAAGATTTGAGGAAGGATATCTGGCGCTATCAAGTCATGTATAAGGGAAGTCAGTAAAGCCATCTCGCCAAGACAAAGACATTGCTGAATAACGTTATTCTTGGAAAGAATCAATATCTTTCGAAGGATCAAATCTCTTGGGTTGGCAAATCTCTTCAGAATCAAGCCTCTCTCAAAGTATTTAAATCTCGTCTCTGTTCCTTAGCACATATACTTTGATCGAACTAAAAACCTTCTCTTTGTTCTACTGCAAACAAATATTGTAGCTCTACTAGATCTGTTGTGTAACAAGTTAGAGAAGAAAGAGAGAACAACATTGGTGAGGCATTGCATCAAAGAGAAACGAGTGACATAGGAACTGAGCGATCGGTGTTGATTACACCATTCGCTGTGTACTCGAAAAACTCATTCACTGAAAGAGAACTCCCTTGCAACCCAAGGGGACTGGTCTAGGATTCACATTGAATCCAAACCAGGATAAAAATTCCCGTGTCTTTAATTCCTGCATCTTAAATTTTGTCCTTATTGTTATCAAGTTATTACATCTAGTCGACTAATTTGAAAACTAGTCAACTGATAGCGTTTAATATTTAAAAATAAACAATTCACCCCCCTCTCTTGTACTCACAATATGTTCAGAAGCTCCTGAATCAATGATCCATGTTTTAGTATTAAAAGCTGAAAGACAAGTTCTAGTGTACTTAAGAATTTTACCAGCCACTGCATTGGCATTGATTTTTGAACTTGTATATCCTAAGTTCCCAATCTGCACCTGCTTGATTAAGTTAACTAGCTCAGAAACTTGCTCTTTGCTAAACATTTGTGGCTGATTGTTGATGTTTCCCTCATTGTTAGGAGTTGCTACACCTTCCTCTTGTCCTGTTACCATTGCGTTTCCTTTTACTGCTCCCTGATAGTTGTTTTCTTGTTTGGTAAATTGAAAATCTTCTGGGAACCCTATCAATCTATAGCAGTCTGCTCTCACATGTCCTAATCTCATGCAGTGAGAGTAGGTGACATTAGGGTTGTATTTAGACTTCTTTCCTTTGAACTTTTGTGGACTGTTTCCAAACTTTTGAGTGGCAGGCCAGGATTTCTGATTCAGATTGTTGTTCCTTTGTTAGAACTTTGTCTAAGCTCCTACCATGAATGATGCTCCATTAGAAGGGTATTGAGGACTCATGTATAACTCTCTTTGACTCTCATCCTGAAGTAACAAAGAGTAGGCATGGTCTAGGCTGGGTAGAGAATTCATCATAAGAATATTTCCTTTTGCTTGGCCATACACATAATTAAGTCCCATAAGGAATTGAATAACTCTTTGACCTTCCAAAAACTTAGCGACCTTCCTCTTTCCATCACACACAGTCACATATGCATCCTAGGTATGTGCTCAGAGAATCCAACTCATCCCATAGTCTCTTTAGAGTTGTAACATAGCCTGCTACACTGCTATTCCCTTGAACTGACTTAGATATCTCCTTTTGCAGGTGATATAGTTTGGCCCCATTAGATTGGCCAAACCTGTGCTCAAGGCTGTTCCAAAGTTCCATTGCTGATTTTGAGTAGATAACATTGTCTCCTATTTCTTTAGACAGTGAGTTTAGTAACTATGAAGTGACCATGTATTGCACTTGCTCCATTGAGGAAGATCACTGGAATCCAAACTTGGTTTCCACAGCTTCCATTGATCAAACCAAGCTTAATCTTGGCAGAAAGAGCAATTAGGATTGACCTAATCCAACCAGGAAAACCTCTCCCATCAAATGGTGAGTTGACGAGACACATACCAGGTCCATCAGAGGAGTGAAGGAAGTAAGGATGATTACAGTCCTGATTGACTGTAGTAGATGAAGAACCTGGGCTTTGAGCAACTGGAGTAGAGATGACTGGAGTCTCATTTGTTACTGCCATAGTTACTCTTTAGACCTAAGAGATTTGAAAAAGAAATGAAGGATCGAGCTATTAGAGCTCTGATACCATGAAAGATTTAGCAAAGAAGATGAAGAATTTCTCTGTATTGTATATAATCTCAAACTTTCTATATATACAAGTGAATGTGCTGAAAATAAAATGAAAGCTAAAGAATATTCCCTATACACTTGTCATAATTTTATTCCCTATCCTATAACCAAATAACCACTTTTATTCCTTTACAATGTATTTCATATGTGTGTGGGCACGTGTATATATCTTTCCAGCCATCTCATTCTTGAGCATAGTGTGCCATATCAATGGCCAAGATTAAATCCAGCTGAGGGCCAAGATGCTGCCACCCGTCTCATTATTTGAGAGACCAAATTATACATTCACCTAGATAGTTCCGAAAATCCCCAATCTTTGTCTGAAAATCAGCTCTTCTTTCCCTTCTTCTCTTTCCCTTTCTTTCTCTCATCGATTGAAAACTCAAAACCAAATCTATCTTCCTTCTTCTCTACAAACTGGAAGGAGAAGCGACATGTTTTCCAAATCATTACTTGTTGCAATACATAGAGTATCACTTCTTGCTTTTGTGCAAACTATAATTCAAATAAGACTTGTATTCCTGTAGAGCAGCAACAAGTAACCAATCAAAAGCTTGTGACAAAAATCAAACTATGGTCACATTAAATAGAGAATGGGAAAATAAATACAACATCTCTAACCCGAAGTCACACCAAATAGCCACTGAGTTAAAAACAATGCTCGAACTAATTGAAGCACATGCATGTCAAGTTTGAGCCAACACAAATAGAAGTTTTAAATAAAAATGAAAATCTTTACTCAAAAATAAAAATAAAAATGATAATCTCACTCAGAAATTGAACAACAAAAACTAAACACATAAATAATAGCTATTTGTAAAGAAAACGGAATAATTACAATAGCAAATTGGGAAATCTGAAGAGAAGTTTAGGTCAAAAAGCTACCTGAAATTAGCTTTTGGCATGAAACATGGCTGGGACATATATACTCTTGTCAAAGTGGCTTTCCCTGTCCTTTATACTCTAGTAAGAATCTAGAGTGCTGATGTATTCTTGATGGAATTCTGTTTTCATAAGAGATTGCATTAGAAAGCACCTGCATCTTACTTCAACAAATAGGAACTCATTCTACATATATATGTTGGAAAGATGGTATTTTTTCAGTCAAGTCATGCAACATCAATTTGGCGTTGAAAGCCCAAGTTCTGCTCCCTTACAAACTTCAGATCTTCACTTGGTTAACAGGAAAAGATGCATGTCTCTAACTTGCAAAGATAAGGAATACTCATTTACAGCAAATGCTCTCTATGTAAAGAACAACTAGAGGACACAAACCACCTATTTCTTCTACAAAGATGGCACAAGAGGTGAGTGAGGGGCCTACATTCAAGACTCTGGGATGCAATTTCAGCAGCATTTTGGTGAGAGAAATTTTTAGGACAAAAAGGAGTATGTAGCTAGTCTTAAATTTCATTATATTTCTTAGCTTACCTTTTGGAGTAACAAGGCAAATGTACATGATACTCACGATGTTGAGGCCATGATTGACTTTATTAGTTCTTGACAGAGCTTGTAAGATCTTCTTTTGATGTATTCTGTACATGACAAAATACTCTTAGTGCTGGTGCTATATAAAACTTTCCCTTACTTATCAAAAAATTAATATTAATTGGTTGTGTTTTATTGTAGAGAAAGATTGGTGTTTGGGCTAAGTTGTCTTGCAAATTTGTTTGAATTGGATGCCTAAAATGTGTGCCCAATTCCCTTTTTGGCTGAGACAGCTGTTACTCCAACTAGCGTGTTGGAAGTTAGGAATTAGAAGTTAGTTATTATTTGGGACCTAAATGTAATTATTAGGAGTTAGGGTTCCTTTATTATTTTAACTTTTCCAATTAATTGTATATAACTGATTCTGTTAGCACAGTAATAGCAGTTGGAAATTTCCCAATTTCTTCCTTCTTCTTCCGCACGTCTCAGTGCTCTCTAATGGCTGATTTTTGACATGGTATCAGAGCCATGGAGACTGATCCGTGAGATTGTGAAATTTCTCCAACTAATTGACTGCTTGATTCAATTCACACTCTTATTTTTTGATTCGAAACAATTTTTGGTTTGATAAAATTACTGCTTTAGAACTCTGCATGTGCGTTAATAGCGACTGAGAGAACAGAGAGAATCGACCACACTCATTCGCTCTTCCTTCAACCTTCAGACACGCCTGGATTGGTTCTAATTCCAATTCAGCTCACATGATCGGAGAACTATGGATTGTGGAGTAGATCAATGCGTCTTGCTCTCAAAGCTAAGCAGAAGCTAGGGTTTGTAACAGGAGCTTGTGCAAAGGAGTCATTCAAGGAAAATCTCCATGAGGAATGGGAGACTTGTAACGCGATAGTGCACAGGTGGATTATGAACTCTATTTCGAAGGATTTGCTTAGCGGTATCTGTAGACAATAAATTTGCGTCGAGAACATAAAATAAGACCGAAAAATATCGCAACAATCGTAGTATTTTATTTCGAATATTTGAGTGTACAATCTCTATGAATCCTCTGATTCTTCTTTTCAGCAGTAAATAAATTCAAGGTCCTTTGAGCTTGATCTTGAATTTGAATTTGATTTATCCGTCGGGAACACTTTGATTGTTGCCACGAATTGTATCACGAACAAGTAGCCTTGATCTTGAACGTTTTGTATTTGATTTGACTTCTTTCTTGATCTTGAATACTTGAATTGTTCTTCGTTCTTGAGCTTGAACTTGATTTGTTCTTCGTTCTTGAGCTTGAACTTGATTGCTTGAAGCTTGAAAATTGTGGAGGAATTTGCAGCGTTTGATCCACGAGCTCTTTCTTGTTTCTTGTTATAACTTCTGGTCTTTTTTTCTGAGTTATAAAGACCCCTATTTATAGTTATGGAAGGGAAGAGTCATGATAAGAACAAACTCTTTTCGACCAATCAAATTGAAATGTGACATGGCCACATTTGATTGCCCAGAACATGTCACATGCACACGTGGCGCGATTTTATTTGCCTTTTAATGTGACTTGGCATGCCTTGTCATTTTGACACGTGGCATGATCCAATTGGCTCTCCCGTTTGACTTGGCGTGCCACATCATTTGACACGTGGCACCAAACTGAGCCTCTAGGAAGATGACATTTTGGGCCTAATAAAGTGAGCTCATCACTTTAGCCCAATTAAATGGGCTAGTCCAATGGATTAAGACTTATTTATTTAACCCATATATATTGGACTGATATAATTCATTCAATTATATTAGCCCATATATTTATTTGGACCAATATATCTTGAATTTAAAATATAGTCCAAATTATTTTATGGATTTAATTTCAATAAAATTTATATGCCTACAAATGCCCCCTACTTTAAGGCTTGTTAGAGCATAACTTTGTTGAGTTTTAATGACAAGGCTTGAAGTAACACGTGGAATAGCTTGAGCTCTTGGCTCCAGATCGCATCTCAAATATATGGCTTGTAGACTTACATTCAATAATCTTTCACTTCCTTTAGAAAGATTATGTATTTTGCTAAGTTGTTGTTTGTTAGCTTTTAACGTTAAACTTCAACGAAGATTGGTGATAGATAGATCCCAAAGTCAAAGTACTTACCTTTGCTAGTGGCACGTGGGTTTAGCAATATTGTGAGAACCTGCACTTTTTGTTGTTTCAAATAAGGAGACAAACAACAACTCTTTCTTTCCATAATAATGACTTGCCATATTATCCAACTTCAATTCAACCTTGAGTAGGACAATGCTAACCGCCCTAATAACAGAGTCCTTTTAGAAGACAAATTATATCAGTTATTCCACGATTTGAATACAAGTCCTAGCCGCTAGTGATCTCAATTCCAAATAGCATTTTCAATTGCTTTTGGATTCCTGCGAAGACCAATCCTATTACGAAGTAACAATGCAGTAGCCAAATCCGACATGAAAAACAATTGCAATATCCCACATCGGTATTTGTCCTCTCGCAGCTGCCTTTTGAGATCTATATAAACCCCTGCGTCGTATTTGTTTAGCATCAATTCGCAGTTTTCGCAAGCTACTTGAGTATAGTTTTGTGGACTCGGAAGCATTGACGAGAAGGTAATTTCTTCTTCTTTTCTTGTGCTTTTCTTCTTTTGTCATTTTTTTTGTAGGTCAAGCGAGAAAGATATGTTCTTGTTCAACGAGATGATCCATGCATGAAGAAGACAATCTTGGGGTGTGAGGGGATGGATACTCATCCTTGCTCGACTATGACAATCTTGGGGTGTGAGGGGATGAGTACTCATCCTTGCTCGACTATCGGAGAGATTACACTCAAAACGGCCCGACTATCGGAGAGATTACTCTCAATGTGGCCCGACTATCGGAGAGATTACTCTCAAAACGGCTCGACTATCGGAGAGATTACTCTCAATGTGGCCTGACTATCGGAGAGATTACTCTCAATGTGGCTCAACTATGGGCGAGGCCAACTTAAGGTGCAAAGGGACTCATATGTCCACCTTAAGATTGGAAAGTTATAGTTCCTTTTAAGGACAAACCCGCGAAGAGGCCAACTTAAGGTGCAAAGGGACTTATGTGTCCACCTTAAGATTGGAAGACTTATATGTCCACAGAATGTGGCTTGACTATCGGAGAGATTACTCTCAAAACGGCCCGACTATCGGAGAGATTACTCTCAATGTGGCCTGACTATCGGAGAGATTACTCTCAATGTGGCCTGACTATCGGAGAGATTACTCTCAAAACGGCCCGACTTTCGGGGAGATTACTCTTAATGTGGCCTGACTATCTGAGAGATTACTCTCAAAACAGCCCGACTTTCGGCAAGGCCAACTTAAGGTGCAAAGGGACTCATATGTCCACCTTAAGATTGGAAAGTTATAGCTCCTTTTAAGGACAAACCCGCGAAGAGGCCAACTTAAGGTGCAAAGGGACTCATATGTCCACCTTAAGATTGGAAAGTTATAGTTCCTTTTAAGGACAAACCCGCGAAGAGGCCAACTTAAGGTGCAAAGGGACTCATATGTCCACCTTAAGATTGGAAAGTGATAAAGCTTCGACTCGAAGACGACATCGACTTGAACACTTGGAAAACTTTGAAGATCTGGCGGACTTTGTAGACTTCAACTCGAAGATTCGGAGGGCTTAAACAATTCAACTTTAAGACCGACGAATTTGAAGACTAAAACTTGAAGACCGGCGAACTTGAAGACTTCAACTTTGAGACTTGGAGGGCCTAAATATTTCAACTTGAAGACTGGTGAATTTGAAGACTTCAACTTGAAGACCGACGGACTTGAAGACTTCAACTTTGAGACTTGGAGGGCCTAAATATTTCAACTTCAAGATCAGCGAATTTGAAGACTTCAACTTGAAGACCGACGGACTTGAAGACTTCAACTTTGAGACTTGGAGGGCCTAAATATTTCAACTTGAAGATCAGTGGATTTGAAGACTTCAACTTGAAGACCGACGGGGTTGAAGATTTCAACTTGGGGACTTCAACTGAATACACTTGAAGACTTCAACTAGGAGACTTCGAGGGCTTAAATATTTCAGCTTCTCTTTTGCTTTACATTATTCGACTTTTATCTTAGTCGCATAATTTTCGGCTTTACGTGCTTGTAACAAATGATTCATATCTTGTCGAGGGAGAGTCCAAATAATGAACCGTTTGATGACTTCAATATCTAAAATATATCCAATACTCAAAATCAAAAACCTTCAGAATCGCGCCGGATAATATTTTGAAACCAACTTTCGATTTCACCATGTTGAAAATTTCAGATTTGCGCAGTCTCACCAAAAAATTCATATCTCGGTGTAAAAATATCGAAATTGCAAACCGTTTGATTTCAAAAAAACTAGACTTCAAGATCTAGAACATATCCAAAATTATCAATCAAACAACTTAAGAATCGTCCCAGATAATATTTTGAAATCAACTTTATATTGCACCACGCTATCAATTCCAGATTTGCGCAGTCTCACCAAAAAATTCATATCTCGGTGTAGAAATATCGAAATTACAAACCGTTTGATTTCAAGAAAACTAGACTTCAAGACCTAGAACATATCCAAAATTCTTAATCAAACAACTTCTGAATCATCCCAGATGATATTTTGTAATCAACTTTACATTGCACCATGCTATCAATTCCAGATTTGCGCAGTCTCACCAAAAGATTCATATCTTGGTGTAGGAACGTCGAAATTAGGAACCGTTTGATTTATTGAAAACTAGACTTCAAGATCTAGAATATATCCAAAATTCTCAATCAAACAACTTCGGAATCGTCCCAGATAATATTTTGAAATCAACTTTACATTGCACCACGCCATCAATTCCAGATTTGTGCAGTCTCACAAAAATTCATATCTTGGTATGGAAGCCTCGAGATCGGAAGATGTCTTACTTGCCATCAATCAAAATTTAAGAGCCATATTCTCACAAATATCTTGAGTTCAAGTCTCATTGAATTTGAAACGTTGTGCCAAGCAATCTTTTCCTTATACTTGTGTTTCCTTTTGATGTCTCTCTTCTCTTCTCTTCCCCCTTTTTTAAGGCAGAGGGCGGACTTGGAGACCAACAAACTTGAAGGTTTGGCGAACCTGAAGACATAGAGAATCCCTGGACTTCAATGCAAATACTTGACATCCTCCTAATATCGGCCCATTGAAGATATCAATTTATCATGGAGGGTTGCCCCCTTTAAATCAAATGAGGTCAAAGTTCAGTAGGAGGATGTCATTTCAGCTTGATCTTACATTCCTTCATACTTCGTTCGAACAACAATTGGGGCAATATGTATCTTTTGAACTTATGCGACTGAACTTAGAATGAAACTCTAAGCTGCCTACGTACCTCGGTGAAGAGGATCAAGTCATACCGTAGTTCAGACTGGGTGATTTTTTTTTATGTCCTAACTTTTGCCTAGGCCGCCTCTTTCGAAGTTTTCAACCTAGCGGACT